CCTAGTAATCATTTTAGTCTCTCTCTTCTGCATCTTTTCCAGTTCCACTAGCTCTTTTGTGAGGTGTGGCAACCAGAACTGTATGCCATACTCCAGGTGCAGCCTTACCAGCATTTTGTGCAATGGCATTATATACATTATGTATGTTAGAAGATTATGTCCCTTTTCTTCTTCAAGGGCTCCTTTGCTGCAGCTGTACAATAAGCAGATATTCAACAGGTGACACTTCCTCGCACACAAAAAAATACCCATGATGGAGGAAAAACATCTCTCAATTTTCTTTTCTCTGTGATATATTAGAAAACATAGCAGCCCTTTCAGAAACAGATTGGCCTTACCAGGTAACAAAAATGGAACATCACTGCAGTTCTCTGGATTCAGTCCCAGGGCTCCAATTTACCAATGTAAATGCATTTGCTATGTGTGGAAGCAGGAAGCTAACCTGAGCCCCCCTCAAGAAACACCCACACCCACACTATTGATTGATTGATTGATTGATTTTTATTTGATTTGTATCCCACACATCTGGTCTATACGACCACTCTAGGTGGCTAGGTCCTGGCAGGTCGTGCGTTCTCACGTTTGTTTGGAAGGGACTCCCACTGGGTCCAACTGGGCCTACTTGGGAGTAGGCAGACAATGGAAAGCAGCTTTGTATACAGATTTCCAGACATATTTCCCACCTTATTGGAGACGAGAATCTGGCCTTCGGAGTGCTGCACGCACAGAAGAAACTCGTTGCCATCATCTAAAAAGTTGGCCAGTTCAGGGCTGGTCGAGAGCGGAGCGAGGCTGGTGAACGAGGGCATCCCGAAGTAATTCGCCGCCGTGGCCGCAAGGAAGATCTTCCTCTTATCGCCATCGCCATCTCCATCCAGAGGCATGACGGCAGCGGCGTCGGGGGCTTAAAAAAGCTGGAAGGAGGAAGGAATGGAAACGCGTTCAGGCGGAGAGAAAGGGAGAAGAACCGTTCTGGGAGGAGGGGGGAAAAAGTCGCCTCAGGAAAAGAAGACGAGGCAACAGCGCGAAATGTCCTGAAAGAGAAGAGAGTTTACGGGGGGGGGGGGGCATACCGGGCAGAGCGCTCTTCCCTCTGGGCGGGG